ACAGGATTGTTTTTCTGAAACAAAGATCAGAATGGAGTAATGATAGGCTCTTGGCAGAGGGTAGGGAGGGAGGAACTTACTTGGCAGTGTGCTCACCCACGTGAGAAGGGGGGTTTGAAACTGATATTTGAGGGAGAGGCAGAAAACACCCTGACTAAAATGGAGAACCAAACCCTATGGAGGCTGAGTGGGACAAGGAAACGGAAGCGGAGCCCAGTGAGTGACCAGAAGCTTCTACAGGGAAGAGTGAGGTTGAATACCATAGCCCCCTAGGACTATACACACCCATTGCAGAATGTGGCTAAAATCCAAGTAATTATATTTGAAAAATATAACATCTGTCATTTATTGAATGTTTCCTAAGTGCTAGCTTTCCCCATGATACTCCAAATGAAACTGAAATTCAGAGAAATTAAGTAATTCACCCAATTCATACGCACACAGGATCACACAGCCAGAAAGTTTCAGTCAAACCACAACCCCAGTTTGTCCATCCTCTGAACCAAGTCAGCTGTGCTGAGTTTCCAGGATGGCGAAGGTGACCTCAAGGGACATGTTTGGATGGAAAAGATGAGTATAGGTGAGCATTCCTTTCAGAAGGTCAGTGACTGATAGGAGGAGTAAAGAATGAACTTGGATGTCAGGGAAGAGGTATGGGAATTCATAGCCGTGGGGACAAGCTCATCATAGGTGTAGCTACAGGCTGCTTGGCCAGTGGAAGCGATGGATGGAGAAGATGTGGCTTTCCTAATATGGACCTCAAAGCTGGTCCAGCAGAGAGCAAGACAGAGAATACGTTCTTCCATCACCTCTTGAACAATAAAGCTTTCATTTAATGAAAAGGAGAGCTTCAAATCATATCTTGAGTCACCCAATTGACAATATGAGCTCCAAAAGATTATAGAATGCAGCAAAAGAAACTCCCATCTTGGGATGAATCCAACTAGTTGAAAAAGAATGAGTTGTGAAGTAGAAAGAAAAGGAATCTTAGGGAAATCAGTGACTTCATGGGAGCCAGGCAGATGAGATATAACCTTGGCCATTAAAAAGGCATATTTAAAAAAATCAGAGAAAATTTAGACCAAAGATTTTAAAAAACAAGATGGCTTGAGAAAACTGGAACGTTCACAAAAGCAAAATTGTGAAGACACAGCCACAGTCGGCAGGCATGAATAAACAGAGTAAGAGAAAATGGACACATTGGCATATGTATTAGTATTTTATCAGTCACTCAGAAATGTAGGTCAGCCAGCGGTCCAGTTATTGAAGGTCAGAGATGGGTTTCCAAGAGACAAGTACCATGAAGGAGCTCCGAGATGCTGAGAAGGTTCTGACATGGTGCCGTCTTTGAGTTGTACAACAGCTGTCTAGCTCAGTATTTAAAACAGCGTAGGGACTCAAAAAATGTCATCAGAGTCAGACCAGCTTGTGGAGGGACCAAGCAAAGTTCTATAAAACAATTTTATTGGGTTGAATCTTATTTTAAACGATTGTAATTATTACAGTAGCCAGCACTTACTGAGTGGGTCCCACATGCTAGGTGTTGTTTGAAGTATTTTCCATGCCCTTCATATTTACAACCCCCCACAAAATAGGTATTATTAGTATCCATATTGTATCCTCAATGAGGATAGTTAATTACTTGTCATGTAGAAGGTGGTGTATTAGCCATATTAGTCTATAGCAAAGGTGTTACCTTCACTGATGGCTGATTCTCTTTGTATGATATTCATGATCAGGAAATCCTGCTAGAAGGAATTTCATTATAATACATAAGTGGTTTCTAAGTCTGTTACTGCATCTTATGAATCCTGCTTTACTCACGGGAAGACACATATCCTTTTGGAAGAGAAATCCTACTTCCCAGGTTTGCTTCCATTCTCCAGTGAGTTGACTTTGATGCTTAATTGCTACCGATGATCTGAACAGTGCAGCTGCAGCATGGTAGAAGCGCCCAGGCTTGGAGCAGGAAGATTTGACATCCAGGCCCTGCTCTAGGGCTTGGGTAGGTCACCTGCCACCATGGAGGTGCAAGTTAATGTCAGTGACCTAACCCTGATGTTATGGGCTGAACTGTATCCCCCACCAAATTCATATGCTGAAGCCCTACCCCGCAATGTGACTGTATTTGGAGACAGGGCCTTGAGGGAGGTATTTAAGGTTAAACGAGGTCAGAAGGGTGGAGCCCTAATCCCCTAGGACTGATGGCCTTTTAAGAAGAGGAAGAGACACTGGCGATCTCTCCATGTGTGCACAGAGAAGAGGCCACGTAAGGACACAGTGAGAAGGCGGCTGTCTACAAGCTCAGAAGAAAGGTCTCACCAGAAACCAACCTTGATGGTTCCTTGATCTTAGGACTTCTAGCCTCCTGGACTGTGAGGAAAATAAATTTTTGCTGTTTAAGCCATCCAGCCTATGGAATTTTGTTATGGCAAATGCACCTAATCCACCTGTCAAGCCTGCTTTCCTGTGAGGTGAGGGTTAATGATAGTACCTGCTCTAGCCCCCATGCCATCCTTTGTTCCAAGAGAAGCCATGTGACAATCTGAGCATGGTGCCTGGCGGCTGGTAAGAGCTTGATGATTTCAGCTCTTACTGTTGTTAATACTGAAGTGTGGTGTCCTCCCCAGTATCCTGGGCCTGACCGTCCCACTCCCGACAGAGTAGTACGGGGTGGAAACGAGACCTGTACCCCTGAATCCTTCCCTGACAACGGAGGAGTGCACACACCCACCTGGGGCCAGGGATACAAGAGGAAACGTCTGCTGGAAGGATTTTTCAGGTGTCCTGTTTTATCTTAAACACACACACAGGTTTTACATTCTAATAATAATCTAGCCATGTTTTAATTCATAAAGTGTTTGTAATACTCTATCGTAGTAGACAACTACGCCTAAGAATCTAGACAGGTAAACTGGTCCTGTGTGCCCATCCAAGTTTGCTCGGGTTTGAGAAAGCCTTTGCAAGTCACCAAGAGCTGTTCTGACGTGAAGGTTTAATAACATCTTTTTTCCCCCTTTTTTAAAAATCAGCATTACAATGAACCTGAGGTGCACTATAAAGTGTTTCATATTACTAGTTAACTAATTGAACCACTGTTAGTGAGCTCCTACTGTATGCCAGGCATTGTGTCGGCAGTGACCACGCAGACCCATTCCCAGCCTTCCAGAGCTTACACTGGGGCTGGGGAGGTAGACACTATCAGGCAGTTGGGTAACTAACTCTTAGAGTAATGGCACATTGTGACAAGAATTGTGACGGAGAAGGAAAGTAGGCCTGGGAAGCCTACAGTAGGGGAGAGAGTCAGAGCCCTAGAACATTCTGGGTCCTAACAGGTTCCCGGGAAGTCCGGCTTCCTAGGAAGAGTGCTCCGGAGGCAGCCTTTTAAAGTGAGGTGTCGGTTATTAAGTATTGAAAACTAAGTGCATTATTGTCACCTTTGGTGTGTCTAAGGAGGACATAGTTTGCTTTCCATAATTCTGGGTCGCCAGGTATGGACTTTTTTACTGGGGACCAAGCAGGGTGGAATTTGACAACTTGGGGGGGGGTCATGGGGTAGGGGGCGGTGCTCTGCTTTAGATTTATGATGTGGGAGTTGGGGACAGGGGCCTGAGGGACGTTAGAGGTACCTCTTTTCTCTTTTTTTTCCCTCCTAGGCAAGTGTGTGGACTCTTGGCAAACTTGTCCCGGAGTCAGCTAACAGGTGACAACTGCTTTACAATCACATTCTCAATCCCCAAAGAGCCAAACAGAAGCCCCCTCCATCTTCTGCCTGCCCTCCTGGGCCCTGAAAGGAGAGGGTGAATGTACTATTTTGTCCCGGGGATGGGGTGGGTGGGGAGGCTGTCCCCAGCATCTTGAATGGGGAGCCAGGAGTCCCCTGCAGCACATCTATAATGGGAGCGTAGGGGAGGTTACCCTGACACCTGGGCGGGCACGCATCTCTGCCCCCAGTGCCCTCCTACCTGCTTCCACATCCTTGGTCACTCCCTTTTCCCCTCTTGGGGCCTCAGCACAGCAAACAGGGAGATGGAGGAAGGGTGTTAAGATTATTGTAGGGACAGGGAGGAAGTTTCCATTAATATTAATATTAAGAGTGTTTCTTTTGTTGGCACAGCACTCACTAGTTTATCAAGTGCATTCGCACTTGTGATCTCTTTGGATCCCAGGGTGAAGGGTTAGGACCCTGGTGTTGCAGCCTTAGACACTGTCCCCATGTCCAGGCAGGCCGCTTCCTTACAGGCACATGCCTTTGAGATGTCCCGGCCTTTTTTTAAGCACAGCCCCTATGAATGCTGCTCTTTTTTCTCAAGTCAGTTCCAATTTCTGCAAGCCCCCACCACTTCTGTGACATTTCTATCAAATACACTCATGTCCTGAGAGTTCAAGCAGGAAGGGGCCTGGGAGACCATCATCTAGTCCAACTTTGTCACTAGCCCAGAGAGCAGAAGGGACTGGGCTAAGGTCACAGAGTTTGTCAGGAACAGAGCCAGGGCTCAGACACACACGCACACGCACACTCGCACACGCACACACACACGCGCGCGCATACGCCTGCTTCTCCTCCTCCCAGCGCTCTAGGCAGCTGCAGACTTCAGTCTCCTGGGGCTTCTCGGCAGGCGCACAGTGGGGGCTTCACGTGTGGGGGTGTTTGTGGACCGTAACATGTCAACCCTATTGTACCCTTCCTGAGGAATGGGGTGGGAGAGCTCGCCCGACTCAGGAATCCTGTGGGGGATTCTTTTATGAAGTTAAGGCTCTGAGTGTATGAAACTCTGGATTACACACAGGAGGCCACTCGGCCTCAGGACATAAGGGACTAACAGACACGGGCTGTCCCGGCGGCAGGAGGCACCTGCACACACAGCGCTGGGCCTTCCACTCCCCCCCCCCGCTCCCGCCCCATGTCCCTCTCTTTCTCCTCTCCGGCCTCCAGATCGCCCGGTTCTCCCTTCCCCGCCCCGCGCAGCAACAAGTGCGGCCGCAGAGGCTCCTCTTACCCCGGCCTCGGTCCATGGCGCCGGCCGATCCCCGGGGCGTGCGGCTCAGGGCGCGGTGGCTCCGAAGGGGCTGGCAGCGGGCGGGCGCGCCGCGCTCTCCAGTCCGCCCCACGGGAGCTCCCTCCGCACGTCCCCTCCCCCAGACAGGATGCTCGCCCTGCGCCCCCGCCCGCCCCTCCACGCCGCTCCCGGAATAGACCCGGAGCACGCCTCGCCCCCTGGGCCGCGGGCCGGTGTCCCATGTCCCGCACACGCCCGCGCCACGCCCTGCCTTCCGCATGCCCTGGACGCCCCTCCCGCTGGGGCCCGGACGACCCACTTCCCGGTTCACACGCGTTCGTTCCCGCGGCCGCGCGTCCCACCCCAGCCCGGATCAAGGCGAAGTTCAGCTCTGCTTACACTCTGCTAATGATGGGGGGCTCACTATCGCACCTCCCAACCCACTCTATCTTCAGATTGCCCAGACTGTTAGAACGTGTTTTTCTCCAGCGTAATCAAAACCCCTCTCCCTTGCAGCTGCCACTCATTTCCTGGCTTTGGGTTTATCGTCTCCATCTGACAGGTCTTTCCTGAACACCTTCCAGTGCCAGACAGTGGACCCGGCGCTATGGTAGTGTCAGTAATGGTGTGAAAGAGGAGAGAAGTAATAATAGTAATAAACAAAGATCTTACAAAAGAAAACCACCTAGGGAAAGGAGAAACAGACAAGACTGCTAAAAGGTGGGCAATGGCTTTGGACATTGCGGTTCCCTGTATACTACAATAAAACGTGAAGAAATGCCAAAACGGAGTGTTAAATTTGAGGAAGTGAACACTGTTAGCATACAAAATACAGTGTGATGTACTAAGTGTGCTCTTCCTAAAATAATTGCAGGATGTAGAAAAAAAGATTGCAATGGCCAGTGTGGTCCAGGAATGGGATTTAGGTTTTAAGTTGTACGAAGGATGTCAACTTCTTTCACCCTATTAGGGTATCTCTGTGAACTAGATGGGCCCGTTTTTGGTTTTATTTTGACCAGGCCTCTCATTCACTTAGAACCCTGGCACTGGGAAGAGCACTTGTGCAAAGGCAGAGAGTCAAAGAAGGGCCTGGGAAAGAGCATCCTGCACTTTTTCCTGCACCGGGGATTTTTTCTCCATTGCTGTTATGGACAGGTAGACATTAACGCTGGCTTTGCGAAATTGCGTGGGCACTTTGTTTAGTGTGCCTGTGTGTGAGCACTCAGAGGAAATGTGGTGTAGTGAGAAAAACGATGGGATTTAGGTCAGACTTGTGTGTGAGCTCTTGCTCCTCTCCTTATAAGTTTATAATATTCAGCCAATGAGGCTTACGTGCTCATCTGTGCTGGGGGAAACCTCGTGCTGACCTCACAGGGCTGCTCGGAGGGCAAATGAAAGGATGATACAAACCCACTTCATAAACCATAAATAGCTATAAAAATGGGAGCCATTATTATTTTCCAAACTCCTCTTTGTTCCTGCCCACTTTTCCAATTTAAAAATGTCAGTTTAAATTCTAAAGCAGACAAACCCACAATTTACAAAGTGGATGAAGTTCCAAAAGTTCACTGAACTCTGAAACACTTGTAGTCAAGGCTATAAATTGTAGTTAAAGGCCCAGGCTAGCCCATTCATACTCTTAAAAATGTAATATTTCATTTGAGATAATTAACAAAATAGAGAACATAACTACTGCAAGAATAGAGGGAGGCTTGGGTAGATTGACATTCAGAAACTGTCAAGGACTTTGCAGGTTTATCAGACAGAAAAGCCAAAAGGGCTAAGGAGGATTTATATGTATCTATAGAAGAGTTTATGGAATGCATTAACTGAGCTGTAGTTTGGGAAAGGTGGAAAAATGGGCGAACATGGTACGTACACAGTTCTAAGTTGCTGTGAAGGTGTAGTGGTTATGGTTTAGATAATTATCCATCATGTCCACTAGGAGGCACTGTTGACTAAATTGACTGCAGCTTGGTTGTTAGGATAACTGAATTTGATGGATGAGGAGGCTACTTGTGAGTTTTAGACAAGGAATAATTATGTACTTTTTAGATGTATTTTCCCTCTAGTGAGGTCTATAGGTACCCTAAAAAACTATCTCCACTTTTCATTAGTTCACTTAGGAATATTTATTGCACTCTGTGCAAGTTCCTGTTGGGAGAACAAATGCTAAGGTAGGAATAATCTCTGTCTTCAAAGGACTCTACAATCTAGTAGAGGAGATAAATATATACAGAATAATTTAATTGCAAATTATTATGTGACAAGCACCAGAGTGGAGATAAAGTGCTTGTGGAGTTCGTCAAGACAAAGCAAGAATTTCTTACCGATCATGGAGACAGCACTGGATGACAGACATTTGGATGAGCCTGCAATGGGGAGATAACATGACAGGCAGAGAAAGCAGTGAGAGCAGAGGCACAGAGGTGGAGCAGTGCAGGAAGTGTCTGCAGTGCGTTTGGTTTGGCTGGACCGTGGAGTGTCGGGCGGGAAGCACGGGGCAGAGGATGGGAGGGAGGCTGTGGATGGCTGGTTTCTCCTCCTCTCTCCATTTCCCGCTTTGAGTGCAGCTCTCTGGAAAGGGTTTGTAGGACCTGCCTCAATGCTTCCCTTTCCTCCTTGCTCAGTACTAAGCCTTCCAGGTTTGCCTGGTGCTTGTCTAAAGAATTCTGTGTGAAGAGCTTTTAGCTCTGTAAAAAGATATCAAATTCGGTCCCAGGGAACAATACCAGGAAGAAAGCTTTCAACTCCCAAGCTCCCAGTCTTGTGAAAACAAATGATACTCCCCAGTCTCATTCTTCGCTTATCAGGTGGAACTGGGAAGCCCTGGGAAAGAAAAATTTGGAGGCTAAAGGTTCTTTGTCCCAGTGAGAGAAACATACCCCTAGCCTCTTAACACTGACCCCAGGTCTGCTTCTACCCTGGCCACCAGAGTGACCATTCCATGATCCCAGTCAGATCCCCCTTAAAAATATGTGATGCCTCCCCCTTTGCCTTCAGCGTAGAGTCCAAATGCCTTATTATGGTATGCGTGGTGCCTTCTTCGCTGAGCCCCCGGCCATCATGCCTCAGAGAAGACAGGCAGCGATCTTAGGAGACCTTGGCCAGAGTAAGAAAAACCACAGATGGGGGTTCAGATCTGGGTTCTTAGCTGCCTCTGTTACTACGGGACTCGTCGCTTTTCCACTGGGTAGTCAGTGCAGAACTACCTCCTTACCTCTCTCCTTGCCGCTCCCTGGCCTCCTGATTGCAAGCAGTGTGAGGGTGGGTGCTGTGTCTTAACTCCTTGCTAGAACCTTAGTGCAGCGCCAGCACCTAGTAAGTGGTAATAAATCTTACGGCGAGTCAGTGAATAGATGCCCAAGTACTCAGGAGGGCATGGTCATGAGGGTCCCTTTGAGCCTCTGGGATTGCTTATTTGTAGAGGGAAATGAGATTGCAATGAGGTGTTCTGTGAACAATTCCCGTGCTTCCCACCCCCACTGCATGCTGCTGTGGACATGCAGCCCAGCCCACTGGGCTTCTCCCTGGCTCAGGGCCCCTCTCCCGAGCTCCTTTGTGCAGGGTGAGCCCCAGAGCCCCTTGCTTGAATGTCTGCTCAATGCTGATCGCTGGATGAAAACCTCTCTTGTTCCGCTCAGCACAATGTTGCTATTATAGCCCCTCTCCAGGGAAATGACACATGCCTGCTGGTCCACCCTGGACCCCGGAAAGCAGATAGAGATCTGAGAGGCCACTACTAGGAGAGAGAGTTTCACAGATGGATGAAAACCCCTCCTTTTGTTGCACCTTCAGTTTCTGTTCCAGGGCCCCAGGGCTCCTACCGGCACCCAGGCTGCAGGGCTTAGCACCAGCAGTCAGCAGAGCCCAGCGCACTGGTTGTGTCTGAAGGAAAAGGAGCTTTTGTTTTTATGCTCAAATGCTGCATGAAGTCCTCCCCTCCCTTTCGGTCCTTCTTCAAGGAAAGAGCACCCTTGGCTCCTTAAGCGAGGTTCACAGGCTGAAGACCTGCAGGTCCAGACAGGGGCAGTGGTGTGAGCTGGCCATGGGAGCACTGGGGGCCGTGGCAAAGCAGGGCACTCTGGTCCCATCTGAAAGGCCAGTAGCCAGCAACCTGGACCAGTGTAGACTATGAGAACATGGGCCTGGCGTGGCCAGATGATCAGGAGAACCCATAAGTCTAGATTTAGTAAAAATCTCTTTTGATTTAAAAATACTGGTAACTGATTCCAATTGTTTTAAACATTGTAAGAGCCAACTAAAACTCCCCTGTGGGTTTAGTCTGGGCTCCAGGCTCCCCATGTGGAAACCTGAGGGAAGTTATAGACCCATGAAGGCTTCTGGGGAGACGGTCCAGAGTGGGTACCTCCACCCTGAGGGCTGAGGTGATGCCCAGCCCTGAACACTGCAGCATGGTCTAACTCTCTTCTGTAAGGCTGGGCCGCATTCCCCATCTCACCTCTAGGGTGCAGGCGGATGCCAGGCTGCAGAGGTCCAAAGTGAGTTTCTCAAACCTAAAACCAGAAAAACTTGATTGCTGGGAGGAGCCTGAGAGATTAGTAGCCAGTCTGCTCCCTTCATTTGTCAGATGAGGAAACTGAGGCCAACTGTAAGCCTGAAATTACACAATACCTTAGTGGTAGAACCAGGAGTGCTGCCCGGAGCTCCAAGACCCCAGACTTGATGTCACCAGAACAACACTCCCGCTTCCACAAGTGTCACTCTCTTAGTTTGTGGCACACGTTAGGGAAGAGCACAACTTTGCAACAAGATAGGCCTGAGTTTGATACCCAGTCAAGGGCATGATCGTCAACCTTTCTGAACCCCAGATTCCTCATCTAAAAATCGGGGCTAATAACACCTCCCTGACACAGTGGTTGTGAGGCTTAAATGTGACCATGTACGCAGAGTGCTCGATGCCTTGCCTGGCACACAGGAAGCACTCTCCAAATCCCTCTATTTAGGTAGGCTGTTGTTGTGCAGTGGCCAAGTGCATGGGCTTTGGGGTGAGACATCCCTGAGTTCAAGTTCAGGCGGTGCCACATACAGCTATAAAACCTTTAATGAGGGCTGACCGAGTGGTGCGTTGGTTAGGAGCTGGCTTAGGATGCCAGAGGGCCCCGGTTCAGATCCCACATATGAGGGCCAGTGACACTGC